TCTCACGTTAAGTGTGCCTACCAAAATAAAATAAAATTTAAATGTGTGTGTGAATGTAAAGATGAGAGACATCAACATGAAACATCACAAATTCTGCTTGTAGATGGGGTCGTGCCAGTGGCAGATGTAGATGTAAATTTCACTTACACGAGGTTTGTGTTCTGCAGATCTGACAGGGCAGAGAGTGAGGAAGGAAGACAAGGTGCCACACACCTTGTGCACACCCAAACACTGTGACTGCTTTATTTAAATTCAAGTTGTCTTACTTCTGAGCACCTCTGAAATAATTCAAACCCTTAAGTATTTTTTATTACCTCAATTTCCCCAATTTCACACATTTTTTCAGGTCATTGACCAGATATAATCACATATGATTATTTAAAATGCACTTTGTATGACTTGCTTGAAATAAACTAAATTACAGTCAAGTCATTTATGTATATGTACAACCCAAGTATGTGCCCTTGACTGGGAATCAAACCTGTGACCCTTCAGTGCTCGGGCTAACACTCTAACCACTGAGCAACACCGGCCAGGGCATAATCATTATTTCTTTAAAAAGTATAGTAAGGACACTTAACATCATCTCTAAACAAAAGCCAGATTTGATCTGATTATGCCTTTGTGTCTTCAAGTCCTTAGCGACAACTTTCTCACTTGCCATCTTCTTGTCTGTCATAGTAAACTCATGTTTCCCTTTTCACCATGCAAATTTTCAAACATAAACAGAAGTACAGAGAACACGTCATCAGCCCTCACCTACCCAGCTTTAATACGTATTAACATATGGCCACTTTCAATTCATCTGCTGATCCACATATTTTAGTGAGAATATTTTAAAGCAAATCCCATGCAGCACAACATTTCAACATAAATACTTAAGTGTGCTTCTCTAACCAACACGATTCTTTTAAAGTAATCACTACCATACTTTAAAAGTCAATTTCTTAATATCATGAAAAATCTTTGTTTATTTGGTTTATTTGAATCAAAATCCCTCAACATGTGTAGACACGTATTGCATTAAGGTGTATGTCTTTTAAGTCTCATTTGTTTTATAACATTGTCCCTCATTTTATTTATTCCATTGTACTATGAAATGTTCCACTTGCCACATTTGACTGATTACTTCCTCATGTTGTACATGTTAACCTTCCTCTATCTGCCATATTTCCTAGGAGCTAGCAGGGAGATCTTGGAGGACTTGAGATAATCAAGCTCAGTTATTTTGACAAATACCCTTCACATGTGGTGTTTTGCACTTCCTACTGCTGCGCATCATCACTGAGACCCCACGCTATCTGGTTGTCCCATATTACTGATATCAAGGTCTATCAGGGGATTCAGATGATGTTAGCCTGGTCCTCACTATAAAATTTCTAATCATGCATCCCCCTATCAATTTTAGGATTCATTGTGATTGCTGCCTAGGCCTACTATTTCATCCAGAGTTGCGAAATGTGACTAGAATTCTATCAGTCTTTCATATACGTATTTATTAGCGGAATTCTTACAAAGAAAAACTTTCCTTCCCCCAACTAGCTATGGCGTTCCATTTTAAGATCTTTTTTTTTCCTTCTAATTTGAAGAACATTTTCCTATTTATAGGAGTCAAAAATATTTTCTTGTCCTATTTTTGGATGTGTAGCCATGATCTACTTGAGTGCCTGGGGAATATTAAATAATGTCAATAATGAGCCAGATCATCCCAATGCATAAATTATCCTCAGGCTTACATCCCTCTCTTTAGAAGCTTCATTAATTGCTTTAGCAGCATTAACTTTTAAAGGCCATTGGGGTCCCATTAAGTTACAGTTATCTTATGTTTCCATCTAAGTTGCTTATCCCCAGGGAGTAGTTTGTGTGCTAAAAGAACTTGGGGTGACAAAAGAGAGAAAGCATCACTTTTAGTTGCAAGTCAAATCAGAAAGCATAAGTTTTGCAAGAATAACCATAAAACCCATTTATTTAAAGCATCATAAAGTTTGACTGAAATATTCTTAATAGGCAGGCTGTACTCTTTTTAGAACTGTGGCCATTCTCTGCAGCCTGATGAAGCAGTATGCTTGAGGCCCAGCTTTGCTCCCAATGGATGGGCTAGTTGATATCATGAGGAGCATGGGAAACAACTCTGGAAATTCTGCACTTGACTCCGGTGACTGTCTTGAAAAATGCCTGTCATTAAACTTGGAACAGCAGAGAAAGTTACTGTGCATTTCAGTAAAATAACTGCTTGCAAAAGAGCTGACTTTCAGAGAAAAGAAATGAACACTTTTAAACAACAATAACAAAGATGTGAAGGCACAACAGTAAGTAAAATACATTCAGTGTAACAGAATATGCCTTTAGCTCCCACAAAGCTATACCTCTGGCAGATTCAAGAGATTTCTTTTGAATATGCCTATATACACCTTCCTTCTCTAAAAAAATATCCTCTTTCCAAACTCACAGACTTAACATCATACCCCTCAATTGAAATTCTTTCTCCTTTTTTTATTCATTAATCAGGCTCCTCAAAATAATAATTAAGCTGCTTAAAAGAGAGACAGATGGAGGGAAGAAAGAGAAAAACAGAGAAAGAACGTGAGCCGGTGCATCAGAAAAACAGATCCAGAGCAAGACAGAGAGTCAGAGAAACAAGAGGAACTGCTTTAAGGAATGAACGATTTTTTATTTTTATTTTTCATCAGAAGGAGAGGAGGAAGGGTGACTAAACAGAATGGGAAAGCTGAAGTCTCTGGACCTGCACAGCACCAGAAAGAGAAACAGCTGACTCTGTAGGCCCCTGCAAGGTTGTACAGAGAGAGGTTCCAGGTATGGTACCTCCGGGAAACAGAGTCTTATTTGAAAGTTTGTTCACAAAGCAACTAGACCCTAAGATTTTCTCTCCCATCCAGGATAGCCTGGGGCTTACTTCCCTCACCCCATAATAGTCTGAGATATATTCTCAGGAGAAAATAAACCCAAGAAGTTCCATGGAATGTTGTAGAGTTCACTCTAAAGAAAGAATATAGTGGTTCTCTGCTGTCTTTCTGAGCACCAGTGTACACAATCCTGATTCTAAGAAAAGCAAATGATACTCCTTGGCAATGGGATAAATGGAATGAGGGGGTATATTTCACCTATTTACTAGTTGACTGCCTCCACATTCTTCTAGGATTTCATTTGTTTTGATCATTTGGGAGTAAAATGTGGAACTCTTTCTATCACATTCTTTTTTGATAAAGAATCCAAAACCGCATTTCCCCTGCACTAACCCACTTCATTTCTCCATTATCACTTTGGCCCTTCCATTTAAGGGAGACTTTTCTTTTCCAGGGTGGCATAAAGCTTTTCAACAGTTGTATTGTGTAGTGCAAATAAAAATAAATTGTAAAATCTAAATAGCAACAAAATATATTTATTATTAAGCAACTACCAATGTGTCAAAATTTCCTGAAAAAGAGAATGTTCCTTAGCTCAGTGACCAGGAATTTCAAAGGGGCATCCAGGCAGACAGGATCTGACCTCATGCATTATCAGTTTTATATACCAGAAATTACAGAAGCCAAATTGTTTCCTATTAGTATGTAATTAGGATACTCATCTTCAGTTTACATTATGCAAACACATGTCAAATGGAGTGAGAGCAGGTTTTACAGAGGTATATAGGACTCTGAAGAGAGGAACATCAAAATATTAAACCAATATTTGCAAAATGTCAGTTAGTAGAAAATCCCAGGGATTTCAGCTCAAATATGAAGACATGTGCCAATGGATTATTTGCAAACATCAAAAGTCTGGTTCTTATTATGGGCTTGAGCAAGACAAAGGGGGAAAATTGGCTATGGCTCAGGATACAGCCATTGCTATGGTCTGAATGTTTGTGTCCTGCAAAATTCATGTGTTAGAATCCTAATGCCTCAGTGTGATAGTTTTAGGAGGTGAGGACTTTGGGAGGTGCTTGGGTCAAGAGAATGGAGGCCTTATAAATAGGATTAATGCTCTTATAAAAGAAACCCCACAAAGCTCCCCAGCCTTTTACCATGTGAGGATACAATGAGAAGTCTGCCACCCAAAACAGGGCCCTCACTTGACTATCCTGGCACCCTCACCTCAGACTTCCAGCCTCCATAACTGTAAGAAATAAATTTCTGTTGTTTATAAACTACCCAGATTGTGGTGTTTGGTTACAGCAGCCTGAACAATCTAAGACAGCCATTATAAACTTGAGCATCACCATCTACCCAAACCCAAGTCTAATCTTCAGGAAGATATGACCGTGTGCTGGAAACAATAAATTTTTTCTGACAAACTAGTACCTTGAAATGCTTCTACTGACTTATATCCTTCTAATGTGTAACATTTTGGTTATTTTGAGTGAGAGAAAATGAAGCTGACACTGTGCAACACAATAATGTTAATTAAAATGACCATCATCACCAGTCTTACATGCAGACTCCCTTCTGAATAGTTGTTGTTTTCTTTGTGTCTATTTGGTTGTGCTTTCTTTTTAGGAAGTGGAGTGTTAACTGGAAATAGAACTTTTTGTTTCTCTGCATTTATTATTGAAATTGAAGTTTTAAAGACAAATAAGCAACTACTATTTTAGAGATCTGTTCTAGCTAAACATAGACAACTTATCGAAATCATCCATTGTATATTTCCCTTGACAGTCTTCCCTCTCCTTTCACCCACCCAACTTGATCTGTGTAACAGGAGCTGGCCTAACTTTCAAAACTGAGTCTCGTTATAAAACAATGACTAATCCTCAACTCTCCTGTGATGATTCTGATAACCACTTCCAACCCTGCAGAATGTGTGTCTGTGTGGGAGTGTCCTCCATTGTGTTATTTTACCCATTGAAAAACCTAAACTTCTATTTTTGAATAATTCTAGGTTATTGTCACCTTGTCTTCTTATCTTCTCTGACTGTACACAATTCCCCCTCCATCTAGGTGGTTATCTTGACCGTATTTATAGAGTGACAATGTGTTTCCCCTGAGCTTCCTTCTTTGTACCTGATGATTGCCTTGCTGGAGGGAGGCAGATGGAAAGGAATCACGCATTCTTCACCCTTTAAAAAGTAAAGCAACTCAGATTTAAGATGTCACACTGTTTTATTGGAAAGTATAAAAAGAACTGTTTTACGATGTCATTACAATGACACGGTGCAAGGGCTGGCTCTAAAAAATACCTCTGTCTTGGGACACCAAATAGTTTAAGGCAGAAACTATCATATGATCTCAGGCTAAACTGTTTATCCATCAGTAGAGAGCAGAATTGTTTTCTCTAATGGAGCATCTTGTCTTGTTATGCATATACTGACTACTGAAATCACAGCTGTGAAAATTAATACTACGGGGAAATTCATTTGTCATTTGATAATCTAGTTAAGGATACACGTTCCAGATTGAGTGAAGTTTACTCTCAACAGATAGAGACTTTTTCTCTACCCTAAAGGTTTAGCTGCCCCAAAATGCATAAAATTAATAAAATATGTTTACTTTTGTTTTACTTAATAATTATTCTCTCGGTTTAAACAATCAAAAATACAGACAAAACTCTTAATTCCCAATAGTGTTTACCTAAAAAAAACACATTTTGGGGGGTTTTTGGGGGGGGAGTTTTTTTTTAACACTGTCTTGATTCACATTTACAACTAGGTTCTTAGAAACATCTTTTACACGTATGTCTTTATATCCCTTATTCCATGCACCACCATGTGGTGAACACATTCTTTCACTGAACTAACACAGTCCTCATTCACATATATAACTATCATCCTTAAAGCAAAAGTAGACATGTGAGACTACATCAAACTAAAAAGCTTCTGCACAACAAAGGAAACAATCAACAGACTGAAAAGGCAACCTATAAAATGGAAGAATATATTTGCAAACTGCATACCTGATAAGGGATTAATTTCCAAAATATATAAGAAATTCCTACAACAAAATAGCAAAAACAGAAAAAATAATAATAACAACCAAATGTTTTAAATAGGCAAAGAGCATAAACACACAGTTCTCCAAAAAAGACATACAAATGGCCAACAAGTATATGAAAAGATATTCAACATCTTTTTTCATCATCAGGGAAAGGCAAATCAAAACCACAATGAGATATCACCTCAGGCCTGTTAAAATGGCTATTATTTTTTTAAAAGGGGGAGAAGAGGATTATTGGCAAGGATGTGGGGAAACTGGAATCCTTGTGCGCTGTAAAAATGAAAAACTGTGCAGCCACTATGGGAACCAATATGGAGAGTCCTCAAAAAAAATTAAAAGTAGAACTACCATAAGAATTGATATCAGGAATCTTGAAGAAATATCTTCACTCCTATGTTCATGGCAGCACTAGTCACAAGATTTGACAACAACCTAAATATTCATCACTGGATAAATAAAATGTGATTAAATACATACAATATTATTCAGCCTTATAAAAGAAGGAAATTCTGCCATATGTGACAATCTACATGAACCTTGAAGACATTATGATAAGTGAAATAAGCCAGTCACAGAAGGATAAATACTGCATGATTCCACTTATATGAGGTATTTAAAATAGCCAAACTCTTAAAAACATAGAGTTGAATGGTGGTTGCCAGATGCTGGGAGGGAAGGGAAATGGGGCGTTGCTGTTCAATGGGTATAAATTTTCAGTTATATAAGATGAAAAAGACTATAAATCTGTTGTACAACATTGTGTCTATAGTAATACTGTACTATACATTTAAACTTTTGTTAAGAGGACAGATTTTATGTTGTATTCTTACCACCACAAAAAATTTTCGAATTTTATAAAAAGTTTCTAAGAATGCTAATTACAATATGTGAATAAGAACAGTCTTAGCTCAGTGAAGGAATGTACTTACACTGTGGAAGGTAGAATAAGAGTTTGTTTTCTTTTTTTTGGAGCAATATGTATAATTAAGATAGCTTTTAAACATATGTATATCTTTTTACTGTCAATAATCAAATGTGATATTCTTATCTAAACTGCAGCACTGTCCCAAATTCTTCAGTGGTTTCTATTGCACTTAGGACATGACTCATCTTTCTACCATGATCTATATTTTGTGCATTATGTGGGTTTAGCTTATTTCTCTAGGTTCCTCTGCTGGACCCCAAGCCATCCCACCCATCAAAGCTCACTGTGCTTTTACCACTCTACTCTTGTTTTAGTTCCCTGCAGAAGTCAAGCTCTTCTCTCACGTCGGGCCATTTGTACATGCTGTTCCCTTTGCCTGGAGAGCTTCCCCTCCCACTGCTCACTAACATTGGCACTTTTCTCTACCTGAATTCTCTGTCCAAGCCCTTAATTCATTCATTCAGAGCTTTTAAACCTCACGATTATTTTATAGTTGCTTTCATATCTGCCTGTGACCCAGAAGCTAATCTGCGCAGGACAGGAGCGCTGGCTCTGTGTTCCCAATTATTTTGACACAACCTAGGGACAGTACATGTAGGCAGCCAAAATATATCTAAAGAATGAATGATTTTAGGGAAACTTGTAAAAGGTGTGTCTTATTCTTTTCCTCTTATAGAAACGCACAAGACTGTTTTTGAAATTGTATGTTCTAATAAATAGTCAGCCCCCATCCATAAAAACCAATGACCACATATTCCCCTTTTCCACTAAATAAAGGTGCAAACACCCTCTCGCTCTCCCCTTCCCACTTATCTTTCTTCTTCCCCTTCACTGAGCAGCAGAAAAATCTTAGAGTTTTTTAAGGGAAACAAGCCTGTTCCTGAGCACGTGATAGGTACATTTACATATACACTTCATCCCGAGTGGGACAGTTTTTACAGCCTATATCCCACAACAGCAGCTTTTATCCTCGGATCAGGATCCTTACAATGGGGACTAGATAAGGGTGTGCCCAAATCAATCTCTAATACTAGCAGCACAAAGGAGGGGTGTTTCCTTACTGATTTGATAGAGAGCCAAGAATTATCCCAACGTATGTCAAGTCTGTAATTAGGAATTTTATCTTTAGGAATCTTCAGTTGATTCTTCTAAACTTCAAGTGGCATTCTACTTCAGCAAACTGCTTCACTGGAGCAAAAGAATGTTTCTATATTTATCCAGAAAGATAAACCCTAGCTTATAAGCCCTATTCAAGACTGTCTTTCTAATTCTGGACTAGACACCTTAGTAGAATTCCTTTCATAATAAATGCTTAATTACACAGCTAATCTCTTAATAAATTTCTGTGACAATATTTAAACTAAGATAAGTAAATCAAATTAATTCTTTTCGAGCTTGCCGGTTTTGCTCAGTGGTTAGAGCATCGGCTCCTGGACTGAAGGGTCACTGGTTCGATTTCAATCAAGGGCATGTACCTCGGTTGCAGGCTCAATCCCTGGCCCCAGTAACAGCTTGTGCAGGTGCAGGAGGCAACCATTCGATGTGTCTCTCTCACATCAATGTTTCTCTCTCTGTCTCTTCCCCTCCCTTCTACTCTCTAAAAATATCAATGGAAAAAAATCCTCAGGTGAGAATTTAGAAAAAAATTGAATTCTTTTCCACCAACTCACATGCTCAGTCTCCCCACCCTCAGTAACCATTTTTATCCCCGTGATGCATGTCCTATGAGACATTCTAAAGCATTAGGAATGCACTTTTTGTATTTTAACTGCAATACTTTGTATATATTGTCAGCTTGCTTTTTTCATATTGCAAATCAGTCTGTGACAGAATGTCATATTTAGTAACTCTCCCTAGTCGTAACAGTATGGTTGTCCCTTAGATCATTTCTCATGCCCTACTGCTGGACATATAGGTTAACATCATAAAAAAGAGTGGCAATGTCATAAAGCATGCATGCTTAAAATTTAAGAAATGCTACCAAACGTCCCTTAATAGTGGCTTTACCAATCAATAACCCCACTAGGACTCAAAATATCTGACACATGCCTTTGCCCATACTTAATATTAGCAATATTTTTTAATTGTTGCTCTATTTGGTGAGGATAAAATTCAATTAATTTTTATGATAAAATATCTGATTGAAATCTATGCATCTGTTTGTTGAACTTTGGTGTTTCATCTTTTGTGAACTATTTCTATCCTTTGTCCACTTTTACTGGGTTATTGAAATTCTTAAATATTTGAAATGGTTTTTTTTAGAAATTTTAGATGTAACTCTTTTATCTATCAACACAGTAAAAATATTTTCCCTGTTATCACTTATATTTAACTCTGTTGGATTGCTTGTTCATATATTGTTTACCAAATAGAATAACTTAATAGAATCAAATTTCCAGTGGCCCTTCCCATAAAGAAACAGCCAGCAAAATTCTACGTAAACACCTACTAGAGGTTTTATTGGAACCACATTAAAATTATACAATAATTTATAGAAACATAATACATTTTTTAAATACTGAGTCTTCCAGGCAAAATGGCATGTCTTTACATTATTTGGTATGTTTATATGCCCTTCAACAATTTTTGAAAATCAGAACAATGTTGATGTGACAACACCAAAAAATGAAACATGTGAATAGAGCTAAGTGCAGAATGGTTACCTTTTTTTCCTTCGAGAAGCAATGGTTCTCATTTCTAGTAAAAATAGACATGACCTGAACACAGAGAAACAGGTTGGTCATTAGTTTAACAATTTTGACACAAAATGACCTATAGGTCCATTCTTTTCTAATCATTCATAAAGTCTTAAAAAAACAGCTGAAGGAAAACTTTACTTTCTGGTTCTTACAATTTGCAAGATGTTACAGTGTATTGTAACATGGCCAATATATGGAAAGATGCCTATATTCAAGATTATTTCAAAAAGGAAGCAGAAATGAGAATCTTCTTGTTAAAGTCTCATTTCATTAGACTAACATAGTTTTTATAAATTCAAAATGGTAAAAATACTGTCAAAAAAAAACCCTCAGCCTATTTTATATAGATTTTCCCTTTATTTTATGCATTTTTAAACAAGAGAAGTCTCAAAGTAGAAGTAACTGTCTCAGACTAAATTACATTATAGCACATATTGCATTGAAGGGGATATATAAATTAAAGTTATCCTAAAAAATATCAGATTGCACCATAGTAGGGAACTGTAACCTGAACTGAAATATTTTGGTGTACTTTTGGTTTGGAATATCATATAAACAACCAAATCACCAAAACACAACTGTAACTAGAGTAAAACGTACTTTTGCATTAAATTGAAAATAATTGTTAATTAAAATGTGAAAAGAAAGGGAAAGCAGGAAAGGCACTCAGTATTACTTTCTAAGTTCACAACACTCTATAAAATTCAGGGTATCTTACTCTCATTAGGAACAACATCAAAAGCAATAATAAATTCAGCCTTTTAAAAAAGGAAATCCTGCCGTATGTAAGGACATGGATGAACCTGGAGGACATTATGCTAAGTGAGATAAGTCAGTCACAGAAGGACAAATCCTGCATGATTCCACTTGTATGAGATATCTAAGATACCAGGTCATACTCACAGAAACAGGGTATAATCGTGGTTGCCAGGGGTTGTAGAGATCAGGAAACAGAGGTTGATGTTTAGCAGGTATAAGGTTTCAGTTATACATTATGAGTGAATCGAGAGACCTATGGCTGTACATTATGCCTATACTTAACAATACCATTGTGCACTTCAAATTTTGTTACGTATCCTTACTACAATTTTTAAAGAAATAATGATTGTGCCCTGGCTGATGTGGCTCAGTGGTTAGAGTGTCAGCCCGCGCACCAAAGGGTCGAGGGTTCAAGTCCCAGTCAAGGGCACATGCCTGGGTTGGGGCTCCTGCTGGAGGCAACCAGTCGATGTTTTTCTCTCCCTCTCTCTCTCTCCTTCACTCTCTCTATCCCACCCCCCACCTCCCTTCTACTCTCTCTGAAAAGCAATGGACAAAAACTATCATCTGGTGAGGATTAACAAAAAAAAGAAAGAATGATTGTAAATTAAAGAAATAATAATAACCTATTTATTACCCATTAGATCAGCACAACGTTTAAAGGGTAATAACATTCATAGCTAAAGAGGATGTCATCCTCAGACCTTGTTCATTGGAGTATGAGTTGCTAAAAATTGGGAAAAATAATCTGGAAATGTGTATTAGAACTTTAAATATGCATAATTTTTAACTAACAATACTGCTTTTGGGACTCTTATTATTAATAAAATGCATGTATCTAAGATAAATGTATAAAGGTATTTGTTATAGTACTGTTTATCACAGTAAAGAGAATTAGAAATAAAAATAGATTTTTTTTTTTAAAGAGTCTTGAAATTCTTTGTGATTGCATTGTCTTGACTTTATCAAGCTCGGTGTCCAAAGACTAGAAGAGAGGATGAGATCAGCTTCTCAAGAAACAGATAAACTAGGGGCCAGCATAGACACCTAGAGACAAAGTCTGGGTACTATTACAACAGAGAGACCTGGTTGTATAAACAAGCAACAAATATGCACTATGGCACCAATAGGCCCTTTTAAAACAGTAAGAGCAGACGGAAAGCTACTAAGTAATGCTCTAGCTGAGCCTGAGTCTGGCAGGATCCTCAGTGGAGAGTTAAGAAACACCTTCTCTCACCTCTATTAAGCATCTCCTATGTAGCTATTTAACATTTTTAAACTTTATGTTTAAAAACTCTATTCAGATATTATTATTACCCCCTCACTTAAATCATTACAGATTGAGAAACGTAAGTTTAGAGATTTGGTCTAAGGTCTCCTGAGATTTAAAAGTTGTGGTGCAGATCAAGAGAGGGAAGGCTGCTCTGACTTTACTTTCTGTGTGAGTGCAGATTACTAGCACTGCTCCTGGGCATCCAGCATTGACTATGCCCTCTTCCACTTCCAGGTTCCCTGAAAGGCAGACGCACACAAAAACACCACTGGGCAACGTGGCATTTATTGGAGACCCAGACAGGGAGATGAATGAGAATATTCACTGAAAATAACTGAAATCTCCTTAGTTAATTCTCCAAATCCCCTTCTTGGCTAAGCATCCACAAGCCTTCCTCTCTCCTTTTTCCCATCTGAGCTCTATTTCATCAGCTCCACCTGGCTTCCTATAGGCTTTCCTCTCTGAAAACCCTATGTCTTTACCATCATTCATGCAAAATGGCATTCTTTCACCTGGGAGACGTGGGTGAGGGTGGATCTCAGCCCTGGATGCTCAGCCTCTGCTTCCAAGGACCCTTGATGAAGCCACTTTGAACATAGGACCAGCTCTCCTACCAGGAACTCTCCTATCTGGCAAGGAAATAAAACTGTCTCCTTAAAGTTGCTTTCATTCTATGCTCCTCAAAGAGTAATTTTACAAGAAAAATTGTGACCTAAAAAAAAAAACACAACAACAACAACACAGAGGGGGGGAAAGCTTGAATGTGAAGAAAAAAGGGAATAGCAATTATTGAAAACCAATCTATTCTTCAAGACCATAATGAAGACATAAAAATAAAACAAAACATCCCAAAACCCCATGTGAAACAGAAAAATTAATCCTGCCTCAAAGGGGCTATTAAAATTGGTTCCTTATTTCACCCAGGATAACCTTTACTGTTCAAGTATTTTAGTCAATATTTCAGCTTTTTCTAACTAGATTACTTCAAGCATCATTTTTAGAAAATGTATTAAATGCAGGACAATCCAATGTTTGAGTGAAACAACTAAACACATGCAAGTTATAGTCCACAGCTCAGTAATAACTCAGCTCACTAGAGATAATTCCAGAATGGATGTTAAGAGTAGAAAGCACTCAACAAATACTAGCTATTCCTATTATTATTATTAGCATCACTCTTACTGTTCTTAGCCTTCATATTCCAAATTTAATACCATAGCAGTGATTGACATCCAAGGTTACAGACTAATAATACGTATTATAATCATCAGCACTCCATAAAAATTTGGTAAATAAATGTTTACAGACTTGATATGCTTTCTGTGAACAGAAAGTTGACATTTAACTGTCCCAAATTGTGAATTAATTTTAAATTAATAGGAACTGAGCAAGTCATGTGTGCTTTAGAGCTATTTCTGAACTCTCCTCTTCGTTTATTCATTCTATCACTCATTCACACGCTGTCTCATTACAAGTCCTCTTGGGAACTTGTTTTTAGGATACTACAGAAAGTACACCAAACTCTGCTTGCAGGGGAGCAAGATTGGAGAGTATTTAGGAGATTGGTACGGTGCTCCAGGTGACTTAAGATGGTGGCTTAGAGTTATTACAAAGAAAATTATAAAAGGTTATAGTTTATCTCAAATATATTTTGAATATGGAGATATCTAAGCTTACTGTCATGTTTGTACCAAGTAACAGGTGAATGGTGGTGCTATTTGCTGAGACATGAGGATTGAGAATGTCAATTTGGAGAGGAAATGCAGTAGTTCACTGTGAACCATATGAAATATGGCATATCTAAATGGAGACTCAGTGACCTACAGATAGGATTGGATGAGATAATCTATAAGAGTAGGTGGAGAGGAACACTGAAGACATGATAGCTCCTCCAATTTCAGACTGGGTAAGAGCAGGAAATTAGGAAGCAGCAGCAGGTGAGAAAGAAAGAAAACTAGGTAAGTGTGATGTTACAGAAGTCATTCAGAGTAGGGTTTCAAGACGAATCTCAGAGGGAGTGGGGGGTGGGAAGAGATTACTCAAAGAACTTATATGCATAACCCACGGACACAGACAATAATGTGGTGAAGGCCGGGGGAGAGTGGGGGGAGAGGCCAGAGAGTTCCTGGTAGAGGGGGTCAATGGGGGGAAAGAAGGGGGACATCAGTAATACTTTCAACAATAAGGAAACTTTTTTTTTAATTTTTTTTTTTTTATATCTTTATTGATTTCAGAGAGAGGAAGAGAGAGAGACAGAAACATCAATGATGAGAGAGCCACTGATCGAGCCCACAACCTAGGCATGTGCCCTGACCAGAAATCAAACCCTGATCGCCTGGATCCTAGGTCGATGCTCAACCTCTGAGCCATGCCCGGCCAGGCAGGAAACATTTTTAAAAGAAGAGTGAAGGTGAAGTTAGCTATGTAGGACCTTGAACAGATTCGTTACAATGAGAACTCAATATTGACTACCCATTTTGCCAAGATTTGAGTTACTAACAACTTTACATTTGTGGGGAGCAGAAAGTTTGATAAAAGCAGGCTAATCAATATACAAGCAGTCCATTAGATCCAAATTTCACTTTTGAGTTTCTTTCTTTGAACAATTCTGTTTGTATGGATTTGTATTTCATATTTTAGTCTTTCTTAGAGATGGTCCAAAAATAAAACAAAAAAGTTTACTACTTTTAAAAGAATAAGACCCATTCTGTTTGCATTAAAATGAATCTATTGGACCCTTTTATATATCTAAGGTATATGATGGGATCTTAATGATCTTATGTTTCCTATCTTTTGAAACATTTTACTATTTCATAATCCTAGAATTTATTTCATCACTATTCATCAATTATTTCCAAAGATACTTTTAAAAAGACTAAAATATAAAAAATGGAAGAACATTAAACTCACCTAAAAGGATAATGCAATAGTAAAGGTAAATCATCATTTTTCAATTTTCTAATTGTTACCCAAAGTATTGCATCATTCAAAAAGTTCTTTTAAAAAGACTGGAAAAACTATCTTTATAGC